GGGCAAGACATGATAGTTAAAATATATTGTTGATGGTTCTTACCTGTGACGGCAGCTTAGCTCTGAGCTCTGTGTGTTATGGTCTGTGCCCCACACTCTTGCTGTTTACTGTCTGGGCCCTGCTGTAGGGGAGGAGCTTAGGAAGGGGGGCTGAAGCAGGGGGAGGGACCTGAAGGTTGTATCTCTTCAAACTATTTCTAAGTTTTTGGGTTTTCAAGAAACTACATACAGCAGCTTTAAGTGTTATTTACCATTTGTCTTTTTACTAATTGTTATATTTAATGGTGCTGCTATAAGTGATCTCTGTTTGTTAAAATAGGTTGTTTTTTCTTACCTACATTGTTACTTTTTGCTGCTTATTTTGTTTCTGTGTTCAAAATTGCGATTAATGCGCAAAAGTTGTTAAGAACTTTATTGTTATTTCATATTTGTAGTTCGATATTTTACATTGGACATTTTCTATACTTGGTTTACTCTGATTCTGTTTTGCAACTTTTAAGTAAAAATCTGACATCTACAGATGATTCAACTTTCTTAAGAATTAGATGGCATTTTTTTCTAAAATATATTGAACTCTATATTAGGCACAAAATGGCTTCAAAATATGTAAATAAAAATAAAAAATGATCTTTTGAACAGCTCTTTTGAACGGCTCTTTAAAGTGAACTGATCCTAAAGATCCAGCTCCCATCAACGAACCGTGAGTCCCATCACTAATATTCAGTCAAATGGTGAATCCAGACAAATTATTGCAGCTTCTGTTTATTTGCCATTTGATTCACAGCAGCCACCTCCATCACAGGAGTTTATGGCGATGGTCGATTATGCTAAAGCTAAGGGCTTCTCTGTACTTATAAGCTGTGATGCCAACTCCCATCATGTTTGCTGGGGAAGCTCTGATATTAATCCCAGAGGCAGATCACTGTTAGAAAACTTGCTGACAGAAGATCTGCTAGTTTTTAATCAGGGCACTATACCTACCTTCCAAACCATAACAGGAAGGATGCCATTGATATAACAGTCAGGTCTATGGACTTGGTAAACAGCATAGTGACTGGAAAGTATCCCCAGTTGAAACTATGTCAGACCATCATCGACGTATTCAGTTTAAGCTGAAGATGGGGAAACCACACCCAGTCACTTACAGAGACCCAAAAAACACCAATTGGATGTGTTTATTAACAATCTATCTGGGTTGATGGGTGAGGGAATTGCCAGGATCAAAACTGTGCAAAACACTGAGACAGAGGTCACAAGCATGACTGATGCTGTGCAAACTGCCTATAAGTCTGCCTGTCCAGAGAAAATCTGGAGGCCTTCAAAGCAGCCGACTTGGTGGACTTCAGAGTTGTCTGGCCTCCGTAAGGCAGCAAGATGTAAATGGCAAAGATACAGATCCCAACCAACTAAAACCAGGTGGGAACAGTGTGTACAGTCTCACAATCACTATAAAAGTATTCTAAGGGAGTGTAAGAGACTTTCTTGGAGAGAGTTCTGCAAAGAAGTTAATGGGCCTAGTGACTCTTCTAAGCTTTACAAGAAAGGATCCAGTCAATCAACTATCCTTTGTTGTTCCACCAGAAGGATTGCCAGTCACACAAGACAGTGTGCTTCAGCATTTTCCACAGTCGCCACCCTGCCTAAATCCAACCGACGACTGGAGCAGAGCTGCAAGTATTACGAAAATTAAAGTAAAATGGGCAATTAATATGTTTGACCCATTTAAAGCTTGTGGTCCAGATGGTATTTTTCCAGTGCTTCTTCAAAAAGGACTGGATTTACTTCTGGACACAATAACAACAATATATGTTGCTTGTCTGGCAAACAGTTATCTACCAGTTGGGTGGAGGATGGCAAAAGTCATATTTCTGCCCAAACCTGGTAAAGCAACAGAGAAGCAAAATCTTTCAGACCCATTAGCTTAACATTTTTCTTGCTGAAGGGACTGGAGAGGTTGATAGATATATAAGAGCATTTTAATGCTATCGCCATTAAGTCTGAAACAACATGCATACCAGGCAGGTCTTTCTACAGAAACAGCCTTACATGATGTTGTTTTGAGAATAGAACACATTCTGACATGTGGACAATATGCACTTGGTTGCTTTTTGGACCTACAGGGGGCATTTGACAATGTACCTATAGAAGCTATAGAAAGAGCACTTGCCAACAAAGGCATGGGTGAGACAAATACAAAGTGGCTCATTTTCATGCTTCGGACAAAGAAAGCATCTTAATCTCTGGGGGACTGTTCAATAACCGTAAACCTCAGAAGGGGCTGTCCACAGGGAAGAGTAATCTCGCTCCTGTGT